CGAGTATGTACATATGTATGTATGTATGTACAATGTACGTGTACGTTGTTGATCAAGAAAGAGGATCAATAGGCAAAGGCGTAAACTGCGCAGTAGAGCGTATAATCCGTTATTCTTTCAACTCGCATTTGCTGAGAGCGTGGCCTGAGAGCGAAGGTCTCAGCCCAAGGTGAATGTAGTAAGATGGTGATATCATCACCACCTCTGCTCTCTTTGGGGGACCATCAGTATGCAAGCAAACAACAACAAATAAAGAGTGCTATCTCCTTCCAGCGCTGGTGTCTCTGAAAGCCAAGAAAGCGAGTTGGATGAATGGGAATGTTCCTGCCCGCGTTCCATATTCTCGTTTTACATGATCCAAGGGCTGTTCCGTGACCGTTTCGATCAGCAATCATTTTATTTTCCCACATAGTCTTATACTTTCTCCAGCAACTCTACAAAATTTCCAGAAATCTCTTCCCCCTGAGCCATTTCTTCAGGTTTGGAAACAAAAAATAGTCACTGGGGACTATGTGCAGAGAATAAGTTGTGGTGAGGGGCCAATTCGTGGGTGAGAGATAAAACTTTCAAATTTATACAGGAAACAATGGGGGCAAACAAAGCATTTCGTGACCTGGTACAGTTCCTTTGTTCAAAATAATTAACCAAAAAATCGAATTATACGAGGGTTAGTCAAGAATAAGTCAAAAGCAAGTGCTCAGACTTTTCCTTAGTCCCAATGGAAGTAATGTAATTTTGATAACTGAGACACACATGCGTTCTGGCCTGAAAAGTATACGGGTATACCTACCCGTAATATACGCCCAATATTACGTCAAAAAGTGGTTCAGAGCTCTCAGAATGAAGCTTAGACAAGCCTGATTATACAAAATGCCAGTGTGAGTGCGTACCGCTAATGGTGAATGCATACAAATCGCTTCCATATATGGGCAGTTCCTATCTGGCGTTACGTTACATTCGTACCACAAAATGTTGAAAAAAATAGTAAAAAAGCCGAAATTTGGAATAAAGATGATCCTTGTTGAATATGAATTGGTTAGCCCTATACTCACCATAAATATGGCACTAATCGAGCATACGGTTTTAAAGAAATAAGCCAAAACATGACCTAAAATTGCATTGCATAAAACAGAAAAGGTTTTCGAGGTTGGGGTACATAATGGCAAAACTCTGCGAATTGGGTAGGTCTATCTGTATACAAATTTGTTGTGCATGTATATGAAATATGTAGTGTTCATTTTCAATGTTATTTAATGTAAAAACCTTTCCGGTTTTTTTTCTATAAGTCCGCGGAGGCATCTGACGAACGTTACTGGCGTGACGTTGCCAAATTCCGCGATAATAAAAGCCTAAAAGTATACTGTTGGCCGAGATTGGACAAATGTTCTGGTAATTGTTTTAAGTAGTTCAACATGTTGGAAAAACTTTGAGTAGAAACTGTTATCAAGAAACATCTTTTTCCTAGGAGATAACAGTAAAAGCAAACATGCCTATAAAAATACCCAAAAACGTGAACTTTTGCTTATTTTAATAGGTTTTGGCATCAGAGATAATGAATATTTATGTCAATAGGGTGAATTAGTTACCTTTCAATCAATTTAGAAATTAATATCCCAAATTATATGGAAATCGATTTTTTATTGGATTTTCATAATTTTTGGCCTGGTGGACCTTTTGGCGGAACTGCCCATATCTCAATACCTTCCAAGTAATCTTGGAGTAAAACTGATTTGGAGCTGTTATTTTTATTAAACTTAATTGACAGATTCATTGCTATCTGTGGGCATCCCTGGTGGGGTACTCGAGGGGAAGCGTTTGCAAGAAGCCATCACCAGTGGCTCATGTCAAATCCTCGCCTAGGGTGATCCTACTTTTTCCTCAAGCAACACCCCCCCGGCTTACACCCACTTCACTGGACTTTTCTATTGTAAATGGAATTGCTTTAAATAAGCTTTCCGCTGAAGTTAGTAGGAGCTCTCCTCGGATCATTTGCCAGTCAAAGCAACTCATAAATCCAAGAAGCAATACATTCTTCCATCTGGCCTCTTGTGCTGAACTGTATAAAGTAATAAACCTCAACACGGGAATAGGAAGTGAAGATGCAATCTCTATCATCATGAGGAATATGTTAATGGCTCGCACCTTAAGCTACTCCGGTGACTCAATGCTAATCAAGCCAACATCGGCCAGCTGTAATGCCTCCAAGGGCGGAGGCACTTTTACGACTGAAAAGAAGGGTAAGAATAAAATACGCCAGAACGGGCGATACTCGTATCCATGAAATCCACAAGTAATTCAGTTCAAAATGTTCTTGCAAAAATCAAGCATGGAAAAATGTATGATATCTCAGTCAGTGCAGGCCCTGATGAAACCTTTGACTACACTCTTTGGTGGCTTACGAGGCGCTTTGAAAGAATCGTTGTCCCGAAGACTCCAACTAAAGATCCAGCAGGTGGCTGGTGTTACTCCAGTCTGCAGAAGGCGGAAGTAGTTTCAGTTAGCGTGGAGGAAAAACTTAAGCCATTTAGCCATTTACGTCAGCGGTTACACGTAGGGAGATCCCATTTCAAATGTCACTGCCAGAAAGCCCAATTACACTGCAAGAAGTGGTGTAGTAAATCAAGGATCTAAAGACCAAAAATTCGCCTGGTGATTCTGGGCTTCTGCATAAAAGAGCCCTGGTTAACAGGATGCTCCATAGGATGTCGATGGACATAGACCAATTAGTTTCCTTTCAGCGCTGGGGAAGATCCTAAAACTTGAACCTGTGGCTCAAAGAATTCCGAAATGGCAGTTTGGCTTCCGTCAAGTGGTCATGGTACTCCGGGTAAACTTCACCGTGTGAGCAACTTCGCACTGGATGCAATGGAGCCAAAAATGTACGCAGTAGCTGTGATCATGGACATTCAGCAAGCTTTAGACAGGGTTTCACATGATGGCCTGCTCTTGAAGTTGAAGCTCAATTTAACACCGCAACTATACTCGCTTGTAGCTTGTGGGTGGTAGCTTACCTAAAGACAGCAACTTCAGAGTGGTTGTTGACGGCGTACCGTACCATAAGGTAGCGTTCTCGGTGCCACGCTGTACAGTGTACACCCTATATATAGTACACCCTATATGCCTACCTCAAGTGCGATATCTGGATATTGGAAGAGGACAATGTGCTGATAGCAGCCTACGTCGCTGTCCAAATAATAATCTAGCTACCGCAGCCTTGAAGCAAATGCGCAGGGTTAAGGAATTGGATGGGACATATTATCCATAGAAACCTCGCATAATAAAATTAAATAGCTCGTTGCTAATATTGCTCATATGTAAACGTAAAAATCTCTGTGAATGTAAATATGTATGACAATTCCTGTATGTATGTATTATTTTTCAAACCGCAATAAATTAATGTTTTTGCTGCCTTAAATGAATAAACCGATTAAGCTGCCACTAATAGGTAGCAGAAATACTGTTGTTGGGCTACGCAGCCCGATACCAGCAGTAATACACACATGAAGATCATAGTCAGTGGTGCAGCATTAGAATAAATCCCTGTTGTTGGATATCATTTGCACTGCCCACTGTAATCCCACAATGTAGCATGGCAGTAGCCTAGGCAGCAGCTCTTTCTGCTCTCTTGATCTCGCGCCTTTCTTTCTTTCCTTTGCGTTCTAGGCGAACCCTCGCATTGGGGCACGGGCAAGCACACATCCACTTGGAATCGAGCTCTTCAATCTTCAATACCCGTCTTGAATCGAGCTACCCATACAACCGACTCGTCAGCAACCTAATTCAAACCTTTCTTTATCCTTTCGACTCTGTATCGCATTACATACTGTCTACCACAATAAACCGTAAAAACTGAACAATTATCGTCACTTTAATAATCTCGCAAACTACGCTGCTGAAGAAGCTCAATGGCTCCCCTCCAAATAGATTCACATTTGAATAAATAAAATAAAAAATATAAAAACATTTCAACAGGATTTCATCTGTTTTCTGACCAAAACGTTATCACTTGTTCAATTTGAAAGACTGGAAGAGTCTCGAAAATAGTTTTGAAAGTTGGGTAGGTTTTGTAGGTGCGGAGCTACTATTTCCATGAACGCAGCTGTATGTAAAGCAACTACGCCCAGCGCACGCTCTCAGTCTCTTCCTTTTGACTTTGTTCATTTGTTCTGCTAGTATAGTCTGTGCCTTTCGCTTCGAAATGTATCCTACACACATACAAGTACCACATTGTTTGCCACCCACCAGGTCTTCCCCTGTTCAAGTCGAACCTGAACCACCGCCTCCTCCCACAAACCTCCCATAAATGAGAAAAACAATTGTTAATTAATTTTTTGAAATGTTTTGTTAATTACATTTATTGTTTCGCTTTCTCTTTGTGTTTTTATTTTTGTTTTTTTCTTTCGTTTTTTTTTTTTTTTTTTTTGTTGGCTTTTTGCTTTTCTTTAGTTTTGATTTCCTTCCATTGCCATCCTTTGCATTTTTTGTTGTTATTGTTGCTGTCCTTTCGTACATACATTCGTACAATGTCTTTATATATATATATATATTTATATATGTATGTATGTATATTGTATTTTATATGTTTCTGTGTGTTGAATGGGTATGGGGTTTGCGTGTGTGTGTGTGTGTGTGTGTGTCGTATAAGTCTAAGCGGGGGGGTTGGGGGTGGGGGTTCTCTTAAACATTTAGATATTTATATATATTTTTTGATTGAATTTTATGCTGCTTGAGGGGCCGGGGGAACAATCCGCTCGCCTCAACTCAAACAATGCAATACAAAAAAAAACACAAAAAAAAAACCAGGAGCGGGCGAATTATTCTCTTATTTTTAAGGGGTTTTTAAGATTACATTTTATCATAGGTTTATCTCCGTTATCGATAATCATAGATAGGTAGTATTGTTTATCGTTTCTCCTTTATCATATTTATCAGCTTATCTTTTAGCCGAAAGCTGCTGCTGCTGCTGCTGCTGCTGCTACTTCTGCTGCAGTTAGATACACAGATACATTGATAGATTGATAGTACAATAGTTTTTTTTTTGCTTTTCGCTTTTTTGTTTTGTTTTGTTTTTGCTTATACACACACTTTGGTTTCTTCTGCTCCATCTTACGCTCTATACTATATATTTGCTAGTTCTGGGCTTGGGTTGGGTCGTCCCGGGTGGAACTCCGGAATGCCAACCCACGCGGACACCCCACCCGCGACACACAGTGGACACTAATTATATAGCCGTATAGCCGATTATTGATTATTGATTAATTGGATTCACCAAAAAAAAAAAAAAATATGGGATTAATAAATACAGTTTTTATATTGTAACTAGTTTCACTTGTTGGTTATCGGTTATACATATTGTATATATACTACATAGATACACATATCTTTACATCAACTCTAGTGCTTGGGTTACGGCGGTTCGGCTCGTAATTGGAGGACAATCCTTTTGCCCACCAGCCCCTCCCCAACACACCACTCTCCGCTCTCTCGTCTATACATCTTTCGGTTTCCGCTATGGTTTGCCGCGATAATTAGCCTCGCACTAAACTAAACTTAAATAATAATCAACAATGTTGCTCTAACAGACTTAAAATGGAATCAGAACAAAAATCATATATATGTATGCATGTATGTATATACTACGCTCCACTCCACTCCACTTCACTCCACTCCGTATCGTAAGTATATATATATATATATATTGTATTGTATAGTCGTAGTCGTGTGCAGAGAATTTTTTCAATATTTACACATCATCAAAGTCAAACGTTTTGCCAAACCCTAACCTGGAGCGACTGCCCCCATGCTGCGTCCCCTGGCTCATTTGTTTGTGTGTTTTGGAGATTGGAAACTTAAATCTGGGTATATATCGGGGATTGCTTGTTCAATCGGTGGGGCAGACATGAGATGAGGCCGCTCTCTTTCTCCTTTCTCCTTTCTCCTCTCTCTCTCTCTCACTCCTCTCCTCTATTTTTATGCTTCTTTCTTGACTTTTTTTGGCACTGCTTTGAATTTATTTTGGCACCGCACGCTTCGAGCGTGAAAACTAAAATATTTGTTACATATATCAATATGAATAATATTAATATGAATATGAATATGAATATGATTACGAATATACCCATCTGCATGTGGTACACACTCAACACTCGAAAATAAAAAAAAATATAAAAAAAAAAACTATCCATAGCGTTAAAAAGTCAACAAGTTAGCAAGTAAATTATGTACAGATCTTAAATCGAAACGAATATTTGCCCATTGGAAAATGGGAAATGAAAACTTAGTAATGCAGCTCTGCAGTTCTGCAGCATGTGCAACATTCAGCAAGTGATTGGTGTGGCAACTTAATCAAAGAACTAAAACTATAACACTATTAAACTTGAACTCAGTCAAAAGCAAACGAAGATTGAATATATCTCGACTCCATCATCCGTCATCATGTGGCATCATCTCTCTACTATATTCTCTTCTCTTCTCTTCTCTTCACATCTCTCTCTCTCTCTCTCTCATCGATCCACGATCCACGATTCAGTTGCGGTTGTAGAACTTTCTTTGGTAGCGCTTGCAGCTGCTTCCCATGCTGCCAACGCCTCCTCCTGCTGCTCCTCCTCCTCCTCCTCCTGCTCCAATGGATCCAGATGCTCCTCCTCCTAGGCCCAAGCCCATTAGCTGTTGCTGCTGCTGCTGCTGCTGCTGGTGCTGCTGTTGCTGTTGTTGATGCTGCTGCTGCTGCTGCTGTTGGTGGGACAGACCGAAGCCCGTGGCTCCATAGAACTGCTGTTGGCCAGCACCAACACCCATTCCGCCGACTCCCACGCCCACGCCCACTCCCACTCCTGATCCAGATCCAACTCCTACTCCGACGACACCAGGTCCAACTCCGCCCATGCCCAGGGCTTTATTTTAGCTGGACGCCCCCAACTGGTTCTTCATGTGTGCGGCGGCAGCGGCGGCAGCTGCAGCGGCCGCAAAGGGTGAGCCGCCTCCGGTGGGCGTCTGTGGTCCATTGTTGTTGTTGTGGTCGCCGGGTGTGCGCGGCCCGTTGACCATGCCCACGCCCACACCGCCATTGGCGACGCCCGGCCCTCCGCCGAGCAGTCCACCGGTGGCTCCCGGTGCCCCAGCGGCGCCAGTGGGCGAGCCCTGTCCCAGGGAGGAGACATGGCGCTTCAGCATCGGATGATTGGCCATCGAGGCGAAGACCAGCCGCTCCTCATAGTCGTACTCGCAGAGTATCTTGTTCTCGCACAAATAGAACCGATCGCCCACGCAGAATCTGTAAAGAGCAAAAGGGGAGAGGCGGTTAGAGCAATCACAGAGCAGGAACAGAGCTGGAACAGAGCAGGAGCTGGAGCAGGAGCAGGTCCTTGTGCAGCAGGAAGTGGAAACGATTTTTCCACACGCTTAAGCAAGAAGAAACCAGAAGGAGCAACAGCAGGAGGGACCCTTGGCACAGAAGGAAACAAAAAACGGAGCCAGAGGCAGGGCCTGGAGCCGGAGACAAAGATGACAATTGACAGCGGTTGAAGCGGATGAAAGGTAACTCCAGCAACTGTGTGTTTCACGACTGAAACAAAAGCAAATCAGACGAAGAAGCAGGAAGAATCAGAGACAGAGACAGAGACAACCATCAGCAAGAGGACGAAGCAGGCAAGGCAGGACTATGAGCAGGACCAGCACCAGCACCAGCACCAGGACAGACTGTGGTCCAGGACCAGGACGAAGGAAGTCAGATAAGCATTTGAAAATGTCGCTCCGCTGTCAGCAACAGTTGGAGGTGTGGGGGAGTGGGGGAGTGCCCCTGTGACTGTGCCTAACGCCGGCAGGGAGTGGAGTGCATTCATCCAACTGCAAATGAAGTCGGTCCGAGCGGGGCACCACCCCCCCAACTCCATGGAGCCCTTTGTCAAAATATTTATGTTAGCACCTGTACGGGGACCATGCCCACGCCCACGCCCACGCCCATTCCCCTTAGCCCCCACAGCAAGGGAGCGAAAGGAGTGACAGAGGAGCTCGCATTACAAACCGAAAACAGAAGGAAAACACGAGGCTAGCAATCGGAGTCCTCCCCCCCCTCCCATTCCGAAACGAATGCCAAAGCAGACGACGAATGGATGCCCTACTTCTGCACTGAAAATGGAAATGGCCCCCTTGTGCAGGAGGAGCTTCGGAGCGAGATTAAGGCTAGACATGGAATAGATACACTTATATGTGCATATGAAGCATTGCCTGCTTTCTATATTCCTGCAATCGGATCTGCATCGATCGAACTGGAATCGGAGATCTCTGTGGCTGGCATCAGAATGCACAGCATACCCTTCCTTCCATTGCCTGCTGTTCCTGCTACAGGCAAAAAAGAAACGTTTAAAGTTTGACAAGTACATGTGGGGTGCCCGTGCCCGTGCCCGTTCCCGTGCCCCTCCAGCATAGCGGGCACGGACGGGACTGACACTGACTCCTGCATGCATCCCAATGGCTGCCAGAGAGGACACCGAGGGGGGGGGAGCCGGGGGAAATCAGCTTACAGCAGGACTTACAGCGGATATGAAATTTGGCTTTTGATTTACGTCAACATTTTTTGGCCTGCCTGCTGCTGCTGCTGCTGCTGCTGCTGGTCGTCGCCGCCGCTGAAGCTGGGAGCTGGGAGCTGGCAGCCCAAATCGATTGATGGGACGAGTGGGCGTGGGGCGTGGTCGTGTGTGTGTGTCCTGAAAAAATGCTTTGTTTATCTACCAAAAACACAAAAAAAATAATCTACGAAAACGAGTCAACAAAGTGGAAAGTTTTTCTTATTTTCTTGCTGGCTGCAGGCGGCAGCAGTGGCAGAGGCAGCCTTTTGGTTTTTTTTTTGTGGCACTGAGCAGCGGCACAGCGCACCTGTGACATGGCCACAGAGAGAGAGAGAGAGAGGAGTGAAGGGATATATGCGGCATCGACGAGGACGAGTTGATAAGTGAGTCCATGAGTCCACCAAGGAGCGTGGGGTTCGCACATCCGGCCAGTCGCAACAACAGCAGCAGCAGCCGCAGCAGCAGCAGGACCAAAAGGAGGCAACAAATTGTCAACAGGAAATACAGCAAAAAAAAACAAAATAGCAGAGAAAAATGAGGAAAGATTTGACTTGGGCTTTGGCTTGGATTCCCTTCCCGCGCCGAAGCATGTAGCATGATGGGAGGATGGAGCAGTCGTCGAATTCTGACGACAGGAAATTATGCAAACCTCACAGTCGTCGGCGGCAGCACTGTGGCACAGTGCATCCTGCAACAAACAGCAACAGGAACCAACAGAAATCCAACTGCGGGGGGGGAAAAAAAACTCTTTTTGTTTGCCCGCATTTTAAATGTGGCAGCCACAGAAGCAACAGCAGCAGCAGCAGCAGAAGCAGTCGATGGGGGCGGTTACCACACAGTGCCACACAGTGCCGGTCCCGGTCCCGGTTGCAGGGCGCCCGCTGGCCATGCGGACACGCCTCAATGGATTTTTTCGGCAAATGAATTAATTTACGTAAAAAATTGATTAGCCAACGGACACGGCGCAGGGAAAGCAAGGATGGATGGATGGATGGATGAATGGATGGATCTCTCCTGCTGCAGATCAATCCACGAGACGACCACAGAGCGCACGAAGCCACGCGGCAGGATCAGGGTTCGTTGCACTCCAAGGATGGGGCCAGCAGGCAGCAGGCAGCAGGCACAACTGCGCGACTCCTGTTACATTTTTAAAGTCAATTTTCGACAATGCGAAAACAAAAGCGACACAGAACGGGGTGGCAGGAGGCGTACAATGTGGAACAATGGATGGGGGGGGGGGGGGGAGCATGGCATCCACACGGCTGGAGACGATTCTCACAATATGCCAATATGTTTTAACATTTATTTCAATATTTTTTTTGTTGCCAGCGATGCCGTGTGGCGGCATTTTTAATATTTAATGCTCCGCCCCAAACCCGCCCGCCCCCCCCCCCACGTTGCTGTGTTGCACAATCAGGGCAGGGCACACGGGGGTGGCAGGACAGAGGCATATGTGCACCCTCATTATTAATGCAGAGACCCCAGAAACGAAAACGAAGCGCAAAAATATTGACCAAAAGGAACCAAAAGGCACCGAAAGGAATCGAGACGATGGCCCGTGCCCGTGACCAGTGGCGGGCGGGGGGTGTGGCAGGGGGCAGCACTTTAAAGCTCTCTCCAGAGTGACATTTCACGAATTGGCCAAAACCAATAAAATATCCACAGCATATCCTTTGAATACACGGCAAATATGCATGGGAATGGCCCTGACGATGGCTTCAATGGCACCCAAAAGGGTTCCCCGAATGGCTTTCCAAAATTTATGCGGTTTTCATAGAAAATCAACGACACTAAAGGGTCCAAGTAATACCCATACCCCATGCCTCATAGCCCTTCGTTTGCGTTGTAAACGATGGCAATTTGCTGGCGTTGTTGCATGCACAATAGGAAGGACGCCAAGTGCCACTTTAGCCCAAGATTAAAAAGGGATTTGCCCTCCCCCGCAATACCCGGGGTGTGGCCGGGGAAGAACATTAACACTGATACTGAACGATTGGCCTGATCTTGGGATCGGCATAGGCATCGGGGAACACACTCACCGATGGTTGCACTGCTGGCAGGCGAAGCACTCCAAATGGTAGACATTGGTGCGGGCGCGCATCACCATCTCAAAGGCGGGGATCACCTTGCTGCAGGCGGCACAGTAGCCCGTGTTGCCAAATAATCTAAAAACAAAAACACACACACAAAAAGAGATAAAATATCGTTATATGCCACAGTCTTGAAACTTGCCACTTGCCACAGTCACTGTCACTGTCACAGTCACTTACCTCAAATAATCACGCTTGCAGAGCATTAGGTTGCCCTTCGTGTAGAGGGTGGAGCCCACCTCGCCCAGGCGACAGTCGCAGCAGCCGCACTTGAGGCAGTCCTCGTGCCACAGCATGTCCAGGGCGCGCAGCAGGTAACGGTCCTGAATGTGCTTGCCACAGCCGGCGCACAGTTGGCTGCCATTGTTGTTGTTGTTATTGTTGTTGGCCGCCGCAGCAATGCTCTGGACATTGCTGTTGTTGTTGTTGTTATTATTGCCACCATTGTTGTTGCCATTGCCGTTGCCACTGTTGACACCACCACCACCGACGCCGACGCCGCCGTTGCTGTTGCAACCGTTGTTGGCATTCTGCCCCACATTGTTGCCACCGTTGTTACTGTTCATGCTGGCGGCCTGCTGCTGCTGCTGCTGCTGCTGCTGTCCGGATTGTTGCTGCTGATTCGATGAGAGCCCGACGAGTCCGGGTTCTGTTTTGGTGATATCCATAGTCATCATCTGCGAAGAGAAAGACACACACCAAAAGGGATTAGAAGATGTTCGATATGTGGGGTGCGGGCACACAACACAGACAACAACATTATTCACAGTTGCTATGTCCATCCAATAGCTTTCGATGAGCGCCATCCGCGACAACGATGGCGCCGGGGAGTGCGCCAACGGCACCGCTGGCACCGCTGGCACCGGCACCAACGGCACGTCGAACAAATGCTGCAGCGGCAATGGCAGACTGCGACCGGCGGCGCCACCACAACTGCGGGACAATATTTGCCGATTTCCGAAATGCGGCACAAAGAACTGATCGATATTCTGCATATTGATCCGCCTTGCAGCGCCCATGATGGGCGTCGATGCTCCCGTTGGACGTTCCACCAAATTATTCATTTTCAATGATTTTGACACAAATCTCTTTGATTTTGTACTGCGAATTGAAATCGCGCCGCGATCAGAGCCCAGGCACGCCGTTTTCTAACGGCACTTGTCAGCTGTGGTGCGGTGCCGCCAACATGGAAGCTATTTACTATCGATGCTTTTGTGCGATAAGTATCGTAAGATAGGAAGAATAAAAAGAAACTGTTCGATAGTTTGTAGCGCCCAACGGTGGCGCTAGTGGGCAGGCAGCCCCCCTTTTGGCAGTGCATACTTTTGAGCGCTGCCTGGAAATTCCCCAGAAAGAGAAAAATTGTTCCTGAAGAACAGTTTAATAATGAAAATATTCAATTCGCTAAACTATTCCCGTTTCATAGGGGCGCAAACAAAAAAAAACGTCTAAGACGAACGACTGTGGGCTCGTCCGGGAGTTGAACCCGGGACCTCTCGCACCCGAAGCGAGAATCATACCACTAGACCAACGAGCCGGGCTGGAGCCCCCTTCCACATTTAATGCATAAAAATGCTCGCCCAGCGGGCGTTTCTATTTATATAAATTTTGCAATCGCTGCCGACGATCGCTCATTGCTTCTAACTCGAGTTCTGCTTTGTTCTTCTCCGCTCTTCACGCGCTACTATCGTAACGACTCTGACTCTGTCTCTATCGCTTTCTCTCTCTCTCTCCTCCCCCCCCCCCCCCCCCCACACGCACTCCCTAGGGGTATCTGTTCAGTGGCAGTGGTCGGGAGTTGAGCCGCCTCTTTAGCTCAGTGGTAGAGCACTGGTCTCGTAAACCAGGGGTCGTGAGTTCAAACCTCACAGGAGGCAAGAGATCCTCCATGGGGATATTCTTTTTTTTTTTCGTACTCAAAAATGAGTTAAGGGGTATATTAGATATTAGTGGTAAAAGTGGATGTGTGCAGCGCAGAGAAGGAAACGTTTCCGACCCCATAAAGTATATACATACATATATATTCTTGATCAGCATCAATAGCCGAGTAGCCAAAAATTTAGAATATTTCAAAATTCTACATAAATCATAAGCTCACATATTTATATATTGACTGAGTACGGGTATAAAAGTAAAGTCGCGTCCACAGAAGCGACTCACACGTTCCCTCGCGCTTTTCGTTTTTTCTTCAAATTTGTTTCTTCTTTTTTGAATTTCTTTCTTTTGTTGGCAAGTTTTCATAGCTGAACATAGTATATGAACATATCCGTGTCCAGGGACTGCTGCTGTGGCTCGATAACGTTCAAAAAAACAATTCCCAAAGCCCCCCCACCTACATTACTGTGAGGAGCATTCCGAATGAAACCAGCAACAAATCAATGCAAACAAAGACTGGGGCTGGGACACACTCACACACACACACACACACACATGATTTAAAATAACGGGATTTATGACAAATTGGCGTTGAGCGTTGCCCCTGCCCCAGCCACTAAATAGTTTCTTGCATCGCTGGCGGGGCGGGGGGCAGTGGCAGGGAAACCCTAAAATATGCATATTTTCCAGCCCGTGTACGTATCCCCAGCCCTTAATGTGCCACCCACTCAACACACACACACACACACACACACACACACATGCACCACAATCGACGGACACAATGTGCGGCGTCTGTCTGGTTCTGGTCTCTGCTCTGGGTTCTGCCTCCGCTGATTGCCCTCGTCCGCTGTGTGTATGGCAAGAGGGGAGCCTGGGCCTGAGCCTGGGCCTGGGCCTGGGAATGGGACAAATGGCTCGCATTAAGCCCTGCGCCATGTAGCGCCAACTGTGACCTCGAGGCACGAGAATGTCCACGAGGGAGAGGAGCTGTGGAACACCAAAAGGGTTCTCCTCCGCAGCTGCTGGAAATGACTTTAATTAGACGTTTCCCTGATCCTCCCTGCCCAACCAGTGCATACCATCAGCCGTTGATGGCCAGTGGGCGGTGGACAGACTCCCTCCCTACCTCCCTACCACCCTCCCTCTCTCTTCGGGGTGTGTGTGTGTGTAAATGTGGCATTGAATGGACACACCAACCGAACGAGCGAGTGAGCGAGTGAGCGACCTACCGACCCTCAGTCCGACCACTCATAAAAATTCAATCAAATCAATTTATGTAAATTTAACGCGACGTTTCAAACAATAACAGGAATCCGGGAGGACTCTGAATAATGGGGGAGACTCCGCGGTAGCGCATCAAAACTCAATTTTGGTCAGTGCTGCCTGCAACATGCAACATGGCAGCATGGCAGCATGGCAGCACATCCATTCAGGGGAGAGCACTGACTGGACTGGACTGACTGACTGTGCATTGTTATTTAGTTTAGAATGAAATGAAATTGAATGCTAAACGCCACGCCAATCGCAATCGGGCGTTTCCATATTAGATTTTCATTGCATTTATCCCCCCAACAAAACAATGGACCGAACGGCTGCCCCCCGGCAGCATGCAGCATGCAGCATGTAGCATGCAGCATGGCATGTGGCAGCAGCAGTGGCAGCAGCAGTGGCTTCTCATTGCGGATTCATAGTTTTTGTGCCCCTCAATTAATTTATGCATTACATTTCCACCAATTCCAAAATGCTTTTCAATTTGCATGCAACTTTCCAAGGGGGCAGGGTCACGGGGCACGGGGCATGCAACAATGCAGCAAGCGAATGCGATGCGATGCGATGCAATGCCGCGATACGCACACGCGAGTGCATGATCCCTGGCGCTGGCAGCTTGATTGATTGATGGACCGATTGACTGACTGATTCACTGACTGATGCACTGATGTCTAATTAGTTTAGTTGCCACTTTCCTTCAATCCCAAACTCCCACTCTCCCTTTCTCCCATTCCCTCACTCATGCAGGCAGCATTTCCGCTTGCCCCCTCCGTCCTGCCGCCTGCCCCCTGCCCCCTGCCACTGTTCCAAGCAAACTAATTGCGCGACCAACGACACTCATTAAAGCCAATCAATATTCAAATTTCACGTGCGGCACAAAAGCCAACAAAGCCAACAAACGACTGACGGTACGGACCCATCGTATTCCGGTCAGTGCTTGCCCCTTGCCCCTCCAGCTTTGTGGCGTTTTCACAGTTTAGTTTCCAAAGCGCAGGACGGTGGGGGAGGGAGCGGAAGGGGCTGCGTTTCGTTGCGATCTGATCCGTTCGTTCCGTTCCGGACGAGCCACCGCTCTCTGCCGCTGCCGCTGCCGCTCTCTGTAATTATTATGCATATGCATGTGACCCCAAGTTTGTCGCAACTTAAACCCTTTTTAACCCCAATTCCACAGTGGCACAGAGAGTGGAGTGTGGCGTGGAGTGGAGTGGGGCCATGTGGCATGGAAATTACAGGTTTGCACGCAACTTAACGGAAGTTACTTTGGTTACCTTTCGGTCTGTGGCGGCTCTCTGTGCCACATGGGGCACAAGCAGCCGTGTGGCAGCCGTGGCAGCAGTGGCAGGGCCTCCACTTAGAAATTAAGTTGATTTCTGCGGTCGTCGCAGCTCGGTCGTCGGTTATGTTTATGGTTTATTTATTTGGTTTCTCTCTGCAATTTTGTGTCATGTTTTATGCAGCACACCACCACCACCCTCCCCACCCAACAGAGGGGCAGCCAGTGGGGATGGGGATGGGGGTGGGGGTGGTGGTTCCTAAGTCAAGGGTTCTCTTGTGACCGTCATGTGGAGCGCATTTAATGACACTAATTAGTGGTTGCAGCTCCTCATGTGACAAACGCTCTTGCAACCCCCAAAAAGGGGTTTGTACTCAGGGAAGGGGGGGGCTTCCCCTGATCGGATGAGGGTTAAATCACAGGAAAAGTGCACCCCACCAACCACCCCACCCACCGCCGGCAACCCTTAATTGGTAATTAATTTATTTTGCATAATTTTTCGCGCTGTGCAACATTATGTTGCTGACAGCAGCATGCATGTGTTGCACGGTGTGTGTTTGTGTGTGTGTGTGTGTGTGTGTGTGGTAGAGTTTGTTTTTGGGGGCAGGCAGCAAGCAGCGCCCGCGGGCGAGCATCCGGGCGGGGGGAACGGGGCACACGGCCAGCGGTCAAAGGTGTCAAAAAGTGCGAATTAAGTGCGAATAAACGTGCTGAGCGTGCAGCGTGTGCTGTGGCAGTGGCAGCAGTAGAGACAGTATACCACGCCCCTCTCCCCACTGCGTGCGCTAGCGTGTGTGTGTGTGTTTGTGTGTGGCAGTCAGTGAGTGCCCCAGCTGCCACCTGTCTCGCATTCTGCGTAAATTTCCATCGGAGTCACGAAAAATAAATGTAAATTTAATTTGCACACACAGCAGCAGCAGCAGTGGAAAAGCGGCATGGGAGTGGGTGGGGGGGCAGGAAAAGCAGAGGAAACAATTTATAATAAAATTATGAATGCAGCAGAAAAATACACATTGGCCCATGCCACATGCGGCAACTTAAAATGCAATGCAATGCGAGGGATTCGGTATTCCAATTGGAGATTCCCTTTGAAGGATCCCCTTTTTCCCGTTCCCGTTCCCCCTCCCCACCCCACCACTGGTTCTTTTGCTTCTTGCTTTCTTTTTTTTTTGGGGGGGGGGGGCATCCAAAGAAACTTCTTTGGGCATGATCTCCGCATCGGAATCCTGTTTATATATTCCTTTGGATCCTTTGGTGGATTTTGTGTGGCTTAAAGAGAGGTCAAGCCACTTTAAATGGAAATTATGAAAGGCCCATTCCCACTGCCACTGCCACTCCCACCGCCACTGCCTGCTCCCCTCACTTGGCATCCAATTCCATTCGCAATGTCCTTTGGCCATGCAAGGCTTCCTCCTACTCCTGGCCGGCTTTTCTTTCTCCTCCTGGCTTTCCTTTCCTTTCTCCTCCGATGTAACAAAAGTCATCGTGGAACAACAACAATGGGCATGGCCCTGGCACCCCACACCCACACCCACCCCCCCAGTAGAGGAGAAAGAAAAAAAAAAAACGTCAAGTACGCGACATGAAAACTAAAACAAAGCCAAGTGGAAAACGAGAGGGAAAATTAAAATAAAATATAAAGAACGAGAAACAAGAAAACAATCAAAATTCATTTTTAATTTTTATGCCATAAAAATGCAGAAACGACAAGGAGTGCGGCAGGGGGGGGGTAG